AAAGATAAAGGCATTTCCGACCACAGGTCTTGCAAATAATTGTTTCCACTTTAGTTTACATTGTATAAACAAATTATTTGACGTCATAAACACCCCTTGATGACGTCATCAAGTTAACCGTTTTTAAAACTTGATTTTTGACAAAGTAATAACTTTTAAAATTAATTTTAAACCATTAAGGAGTAATTTTATTCAAAATCTGAGGAGATTTTCACCTTAGATAATTGTTCAAGCATTCTGAAAATCTACCGGAAAGTTTTTCTAGCTTGCTCCTTCATAAAGATATTCGTCATTGAAGTTAGTGCTTTTTTGAAGAATTATTTTATAAAAACGTCAATTTTGCGATTTAGTATTCTCTGGTGTTGGGCCATGCCTTGAGTTGAGGAGCTCAGTTCTGCTTCCTATAGGTATAAATTGTGCATTAGGCTAGTTTTGAAGTTGAAAATCGAAAAGTTACACACGTGGGGACACGCCCAAATTGATAGAAAATTGCTAAAATCACTGAAAATTGCTGTTTTCGTCATTTTCTGTCAACTTTTGAGTGCCGTTGTGATTACAGTTCTTCTTGAAATACTTTGAAACTTTGCATGCTTATCAAGCTATATATAAAACAATTACATGAAAAAATTTACGGCGATTCAATATTGGATGCGCACGCAACGTCCGCTCAAAGTTTGCACGTGCGAAAGGTGAGAATTTTGCTCATTCGTGATTTCCAACAAATTCTGCTTTGCCACGACAGTTTAATGTCATTATATATGAATTTAATGCCAACTTGAATGAGTATTAGGTGGCATATTCAGTCAGTGATCGACCGATATGCTTACCTAAACACAAGGAAATGTTTTTAAAGGAAAATTTCGAAATCGTTGAAACTTCCTCCTTATTAATTAATGAAGATATCAGTTTATATTTCGACTTTATAAAGTACCCTGACATTATAATCAAAAAGAGATGATATTTTACCAAAACCCATAATCATGGGTAGAGTGGACCGCTGCCAGTGTCTCTCTTTCCCAAACAAAAGGAAATGATATTAATTTGATTGACCGTTCTCAAATGCAAGATGATACCGAGAATGAAATCGGTCGCTCGCTTTTCCCATTCATTCACGGCTTACAATCAATCACATGCTGTAAAAATCTCTTTGGGTTGCGTTCGGGTCGATATACCTAGTATTTCGGGATAAGGGTGGTACTGGTAGTTAGTGAATTAGCTGAAGTTTATTGATTCTTTATTGCTGAGTACAGCTGCCTTCGGGTAGTTCTTCTTAATCTATTACAATTGTAAATTAATGGGAAAAGCGAGCGACCGATTTCATTCTCGGTATCATCTTGCATTTGAGAACGGTCAATCAAATTAATATCATTTCCTTTTGTTTGGGAAAGAGAGACACTGGCAGCGGTCCACTCTACCCATGAATATGGGTTTTGGTAAATTATATCATATGAATTGATTGCACTGCTAATAAATAAAATACTTTGTTTTACTAATAATTTTAAAATCCCGAATTAGTAGAGGCTCTTACGGGCATTATCTGCTCGATACGTTAGGGACCCCAGATACACCTTACTAGACGTATTTTTGACCGTAGAATCGATTGAAAGTAGTTTCAAGATGATTGGACTGATTGTTCTGGGGTAAAATCGCAAAAAACCGATTTTTGGGCCAAAAATAGGCCAAAAAACCATGTTTTTTGATATTTTGAGCAAGTTAATTTTGTTGGCATGTCGGCAAAACTTGCATAAAGATAGCTAAAAGACAGCCGCACAAGATTGTATAAAAATAAAACAAATCCCTCTATTTGTTCTGAGGTAAAAATCCAAAAAAGTGGTAAAAATTTTGACTTTTTTGCTTTAAGTTTGAATAATTTTTTGCAGTTGTATTAAATCAACCCAAAAATAGTCACATCGTGTTTGCCTAAATTTTTCCTTTCCGAGAAGTACCCACTTCATATACTTAATCGAAGTTTGAATATTGTCACTCCGCAAGCGTTTTTGCCAAATTTTCGACGCGCACTACGCGCAAAAGCATTTAGTTGTTATCAATTGGCACCCGCGCGTTCATCATAAATTTCAAACAGCTATAACTCAGCGAGATTATGTCCGTTCTAGCTCATATTTTCACACTAAATAGAAAATAATGTGATCTTATTGCTGACAAAATATGGATATAATTACTTTATTTGCCTTAGAGTAATAGACTGTCAAAGTTTAAAACGCGCATTGGTATAGCACGTGACTAATAAGGCCAAATTTATACTTCTTGACATATTATCGATCCTTAGACATCATACTATTGTGTCCAATTAGCGGTTAGGTCTCTAAACTCGTAGCAGAAAACACGTCTTTTTGCCCGTAAGAGCCTCTACTAAATAGCTGAATATAGTTTTATTTTCAGAACCTGCACATTCCCCTTGGTAATACGAACAATTTTTAATCATTAGCACTACTGCTAAAGCTATGAAATTATTGTATCACGTTGCAGCGACCCCCACGGTCGTTTCACTATAGCTATGGTTTATCGTCCTGACGATACAGGGGGAGCCGCGCACTTCGTGCGCGGCGGGTCATACAACGTATGACAAGGTTTGTCAAAGTGCAAAGTGAGCGTTTTAAAATGAAAGTGAAAATTCTTTTAAACGCGCGTAGGTTATTATTATACCCAGCAAACCCGGCTGGAGTTTATCTCCAAAATTAGAATAAATAGAATCTAAAACCTTAACGGGTTAATTGACGATGTCAATTCATCTCAGCTCGGCGCGGCACAGTAGTGCATCTCGCCGATCTAGCTAGAGAGGAGAAGCCTCATTGAGTGCGCGGCGCAGCACAGTATAAACGCATAGCGCTACAACAATTAACGGGTGATACTCGTAAAATATCTGTTCCATATATTGGACCGTCGACGAGTCCAACTCGGCGCGCGTCCTGGTAGGTTGTAAACCTACAACTAAAACCTTCCGGTTTTCAAAAACAAAAAAATTCGTCTCTTAAATTTAAAGTTAGCTCCCCAGGAACAAAATTTGGGACGACAACCTAAATATTGCAAATTAAACCAAAAAGTTTGATTTTGGGCCGAATAAAAGATCGCAGCTTTTTTAAAAACTTGAAAATCGATCACCTCCAGCGAGCCCGGCAGGCACAAAGGTTTTAGCTGGCCGGTTGATTAATATTTTAATTGTATCACGTCGTGACCCCCATTGCATTGTCGTTTCATTGTAGCGTGATGCAATACTGGGCCGCGCCGCGCACTCAATTATGCTTCTCGCAACCTCGCTAGATCGGCGAAATGCACTACTTTACTGGGCCTTACCTACTATTATATTATATATATAAGCTCATTACGATCCTGTATGTAAGAATTATTTCAAAATATTCACTATTTTAGGAGTTATACTTATAGGCATTTTAAGCAACAAATTACCCATTTTTCGTCGCGTCCTTTGTACACTTTTGCAATGCACGAGAGGCCCACATACAGCTCGACGTTATCGTGCTGACGTGCTACACGGTGAATTTTCATTATTCACAGTTAGAGGCAACTTTTGGTACCAAATTTATCAAAATCAGAATCAAAAAATTCTGAGCCAACTCATGGGGCTTATTTGTTATTACATAAAATATATGTACTGTGCACTGTTACATGTTAACTTACAATTGTAAATTTACATGACTTAAAAATGAAAAACAAATAATATCAAATATAAAGTCGACAAGTCCGCTTGATCCTCAAAAATCTGATTAGCAATTAGAATATGCATTACATCAATACGTTTTAAACATTCAAATCGACTACACTGAGGCGTAAAGCTTTAGCTTTAATTGGGGACAGTAACTGTCAAACATCCCGCACCTGTGCAACAAGATGGGTCTGAGTCAACCCCCGTTAATGTCGCACTCGTTACTTTGATTTAGTACTTACTCTGCAATCGCTATGAACTTGAGAGAGTTAACATTTGTTTTAGTTCTTTTACCTATCTGTTCTGTACTTGGTAAGGAATGTCCTGAAGGAGAGTTCGTACATGGAGAGAGCTGCTTGCCGTCCTGTCCGCAAGCCTACTGGAATAGGACCTGTATGACAGAGTGTCCTGCTGGACTATACACTCCGGACACGCTTCCTGGGCACAGAGAGTGTTTAACATGTGAAGCGGGAACTTTCACTTCTAATAACGGGTCTACAAGTTGTACTTCGTGTCAAACAGGGTATTTCCAGGTGAAACTTTGTATTTCCCGTTGATAAAAGTTACTAAGATGTTAGAGTTGGTATGTGCGGCCGGTTTTATTATTTAAAATAGTCACTGTTATGACTAGACTTCAAATATAAACTACCATATCGATAAATTCCTGAAATCTTAAAGACTAGGTCCTGAGAACTTATGAAACACTGACATTCGGTTCGATGATTCAGGATCAGAAGCAGTCAGTGAATTGTATAGAATGCCCCGTGGGCACCTACTCCGAATATAAAACAGGGTCGAAAACGTGCCTATCGTGTCAACCTGGCCATTATCAGGTTAAGAAAACATACAGATTATAGGTATAAATTTTTGATATCCTTACTTAAACGTCTCTTTTAGTTTAAGATATTTCAATCTACCAATCACATTCTACAATCTTGATAATCATGATGTCATCATGACGTCATCATCCACCAGGATTTAAAAGGTAAAGGAAGCTGCAAAACCTGTCCTGAAGGTGAACACCAGGACGAGACCGGTGCGAATAGCTGTAAGAAATGTGAAACGAACATGTATCAGGTGCATCTTTTTAGATCGTCATTGGATCAGTTTTAATTTAGTTTTAATCAACGTTTTCTCATTTCTCTCAGAGAGTGTATCATGGGTATAAAATTAAGGTTCAGCTTGTTCAATTCGAGGGGGGGGGGGGGGGGTGAAAATTTTGAAGTTTACAATTACAATGAACAAGTTAACGATTTACTCTAACATAGGAAACAGAAGGCTCAGTGCTGTGCGAAGTTTGCCCGGATGAGAAGGATGACAGCAACGTACCTGATCAATGCAAATGTTGGTGATTGATATTCTATAGTTCTATCATGACAAATCTAAAAACTGTTTGAGAAACACAATAATACATAAATCAATCAATAGAATTACAGTTCAACAAAGAATCTTCGATCGCAGGGAAGGAATGTCCAATGGGCTACACCAAAAAGCAAAACAGCCAGGGTGACACAGAGTGCAGGATCTGCCCACAAGGAACGTACCAACCTGACGAGGATGGGGTTCACTGTCTACCCTGCCCTCAGGGTTACTATAGTAACCGCAGAGGCAGTGTCAGGTGTATCGAATGCCCCGAAAACTCCTGGACCCCCACTTCAGGTCAGTCTCTAAGTCTAAAGTTTATAATTCAAATGTGGTTTTCTAGAGAAACATCATATTTTAGTCATTAGTTTATACTCTGGACGTTTGACGCTACTATAGAGTCTACATCTGTTAATTCAATGATAAATATCAATGAGCTCAGCATCACTGATCTCCTCGCACATAGAGACAACCCCCTGCACACCATCAGTAGTCTCCACTAGACTCCCTGCCCCTCTACCCACCTCAAAATCTGCTCTGTCATTGACGTGCACCAGGCCAGGATCAGGGCGAGTAGGGGGTGAAGGTCGACGGGATGACAGAAACTGCTGCATCTTCACTTGGAACGGTTTAGAAGTGAATACGTAGACTGAGGGGTTGATGATGACAGAGAGGTAGAAGAAGAGATAAGTGTAGAGGAGTAGATCTCTGTCGAGGTGATGGTGCTCTGCTAGAGACAGGAGCACCATGAAGGGGATCCAGCATAGGCAGTAGAAGAACGTGATCCAGAGTCCCCGTCTTATCAGCCTCCCCACACCTAGCACACGATATCTAAGCTGGTAGAACCCCACTACAGAGTACGTCACTACACACGCAAACACTGGGAAGTAGAAAAACAATATGCTCTCCCCAAGGACATAGTGCTGGTATTCTTCTCCTCCAAAGTCACATTTTCTGCTATCATTAGCGGCCACAATTTCAAAAGTTCCAGGTTTTAGGACTCCTAACAGAGAGAATGATCCGAGATACAAGCCGGGGATTATCCAAACAGCAGTGCAGAGGAGGATCATGTTCCTGGTGGTGCAGCTACTGATCCCCCGGACGGTTAGCATCAGGACGGAGAGTGTGATGGGCAGCACAGCCAACATCTCTACTTTAGAAGAGTAGGACTCAGCGTACCGAGCTATCTTACAGAATGTGGAGGAGAAATTACAGGTGTTGGTCAGTAAACCTGCAAGGTGAAAACAGAAATATGTTTAGTTTCTTGTTAAAATATCAGACAAGAATATTCAATCGGTCAGGAAGGTTGGTCTGATTCTGGTGAATAATCCAATACTTAATGATAGGGAACATAACAACGCAATTAGATGAAAAGAAGTTTACCTGGTCCCCGGAGAGCAATAGCAACGACTGAAAAGAGTAACTCTGAGATTGCGAGGTTTAGATAAACTATTTTTTGAGGGATTATCATTCTTCTCCTCAGATAATGAGACAGAAAGACAGAGAGGAACCCGTTTAGGAACGCACCGATAAAGCCTGAAAAATTTCCACGTCAAATAAAATATTATTTCAAAATTATTGTTCAGCATATCAACATTCAACAACCATGCAATTCTGAACAGATCATTACTAAACTTAAGTGTGCATATGGACGTAATTTTTCGCTACTCGGTCATTATATTTCTTTTTAATCTAACACTCACTTGACTTATAGTTATACTATCTCTCACTATCTTTACTAAGACTCACCTATCATGATTATGGCGTAGGCTTCAGTACTAGTTGCATATCCAGACCATTCCACAGAAAAGTAAATCATCACGATAAAAATAAAACGCGAACGTTAGTTCAAGACATAAATTGTAGTGGACAGCTTTACGAATGGAGATCGAGCATTGCAATTTGCAATGATGCCAAGATTTCCCATGTCCTCATATTACTGCTCAAAATAAATATTGGTGAATATGCAGAGAAAAGAGTATCAAATTTCTGGAACAGAGAATAGGGTACAGGACCGAGCGTGCTAAATCACTCTACAGCCGATCTTAGAGATTTTTCTAAAAGGGCCCGCGATAGTTGAGACCAGCTTGGATCGATGTATTTTCGCACACTGATTCCGAATCACCCCTCATGACATAAGGTTAAGATGCTCCCCTAGCGAGATATTGGCGAAAAACTGTCTCGATCACGTGCTATGACCATACAATGAAGTTGGTATAATTTCTCGTTAGGGTTAGGGTTTTAGCATAGGCTCTTGTTAAATATTGGGTAAGGGTTAGGGTTGGGATCAGGTTAGAAGGCTAGGATTTCGATTAGTCATTCAGGGCCATCAAGAGAACGTGTTTAAAAAGTCACGTGACAGTCGATCGAGTGTAGAGTGACTTTAAAAAAGGAGGTAGAATAAGTATAACAGTGCCAAAAATTGTTTGTAAGATAATGATATAATGATATTAATATAGACGTAAAACATAATAAGTAATAACTAATAAGTTATGATATTATAATAACACTTATACAATAACACGGTTCTGTTTCACTAAGGTGATTATTTAATTAACAAGCACTACAATTAACTGTTAATTGATAAACAGTATACACTCCATACTTCATAGTACCATTCTTAACCATGGCATGGTTTGACTAATGACTAGTATAAGTTATCGTGTAGTTGTACGCTATGTCTGTACTCTGTACGCTATGTCTGACTCAGATCCAATGATTATGCGACTTGAATTACAATCACCATCAATTTAAACTCTGCAGTCCGCAGTTACATTGGCCATGTTTGCCTAGACAATGGAAACTAATTGTTATGTCGAAATTAATTAAATATTTCTCCTTTTCAGGAATGATTTCGTTCTTCAGCTGCACCGGCCCCTCAATCCAACTGTTCCATGATAAGGCAACCCAAGAGAGATTCGTCATAGCGTTCGGACCATCTTCTCCACCCATAGTTCCACTAGACTTTACAATGGAGTTCAAATACGCAAGAGTATTGTCTGGTAATTGTTGCAACATTTTTTACGATTCTTAATTTCAGCTCACATTCAAGTGTTATCTATATAGTTATGGATGCACTCAACCTTGGATTTTTTAAATTTTTACAATTTTTGCACGGTGGTAGAGTAGAGACGCACACTATTATTACTTTCAATTTCTAAATTTGGCCCATTTTATACATTTTAATAATAATATCCGTTGGTAGTCTTCCTTCGGAACTTAAGGAACCCATTATCAACAAGAATTGCGCCCGTTGTTTCGTTTTGGCGGACGCTAGATTTCCATTTCACATTTACTATAAATTTAAGTATAACTATAAGCTCCAATCAGCTCACTTCAATCTTCATGATAATAATATTGATCAATTATGCATCAAATACGGGAAACACTTGAAATTCAGTTCAATTGCCGTAGAACTTAACTTGTATCTGTAATTCAAGAAATTATCAGCAAAGGTAAACTATTATATATTTGTAGCGCGATGCACTACTGGGTCGCGCGCGCATCAAATAATGCTTCTCGCAACCAACGCTTCTCGCAACCAACGCTTCTCTACCTTCGGTAGATCGGCGAGATGCACCACTGTGCCTCACCGAGCTGCGAAGGATTGACATCGTGAATCAATTATATATACTCGTGTACACATCAATACACTACGCGTGCCACGTACAAATTGGGTGTATTACCTAATAGTAATATTATACATTACATGCATCATATACACAGTCGCGCCGCGCATTCATAGATCACAGGCTATCTATACATCACATCTCCGCAAGCAATCCTCGCGCGCGCCCAACTTTTTCGTTGCATGGTAACGAACGAACACACGACATATTTAAACCCACCTATCTCGTTCTCCAAAATCCACGTTTTTCTGCAAAAACCTCCATTCGTAACCTTTCACTATTGCCTTTTTTCAAAAGGGTGAAAAGGAAAAATAACAGTTACTCAACTTCAAATTTTATATCGCTTTCCAGGAAAATGGAGGCTTGAAAAAGCTAAAGGTAGATCCTACACTGAGGGAGAATTGATCGAAACTCTGGAAATATTCACGATAGAGAATCTCGAAACCAAAAGTTAGTTTATTTGATAAAAAACAAAGGATCTTGTCGATATAATTTCTAAATAATCGTATTTTCAATTTAAGATTTTCAGTTTACTAAACTCCACCCTTAGTCAACAACGAGTTTTGCTATTTTCCGCTGGATCTGATAAAGTTTGAAGGGAAAATAAATAAAACAGAAAAGGGAGATTATTGTGGACCTTGGGAAGATGAAACTGAGGACAAGAATAATTACTGTAAGACATCAGAATCTTACAAAGGTATTTGAGGAAGGACCAGCACTCAGCAGCCAGCTGAGTGAATCAATTTACTTTATCAATTCATTAATCGATTAATTAGAAATAATCGATCAGTATATCAACTAATAATCGATTAACAAGAAAGTGAATTATCCCACAATTACAAATAAATAATCTAACAATTATTTGTATTCCCAGGCCATACTCGTCCCGGAACGGAACCGTGGTGTCTTGACGCTGAAACAAGAGTACCAATCTCGTGTGGTGTCCCAGTCTGTGGTTTGGATATGATTACTTTTACAATTACTTACAATTACTTTTACTGATTACTCATTTGTGTAATCGTTTACATGGCTATCAAGGCAGCCTAATTTAGAAAAACACCCCCACCAAACCAAGATTATACCTCATTTATTAAACTTCATATTTTATAGTTAAACAAGAGCTATTACGTCACGTGAAAGTGTTAATATAGTCCCACAGTTATTAACGTGCCCAGGTTGGGATACAATCTGTAAAAGTACTGAGGAGGGGCACGAGTATCGTGGGAGTCTGAGAAGGACGGATCTAGGATATGATTGTAGGAACTGGAAGGCGGATTGGCCTCATCCCAACAAGTAATTAGAGTCGAGTGGAGATATTTATTAGCTAATTAATAATTAGCTTATAGTGAGGCCCGGATAATAAGATGTTATGATAATATTCATCATGTGCAGTATTATTAGCTAACAGTGAGAATAATATGATATCATGATAATATTCATTTATTGAATATTAATAGTAATAAAGTAATAAATTATTTACTATTTTCCGTAGTGTTTGCTCTTGAACTTTACCGATTTAATATTTTGAATAAATAAAATTAGAAACACCAGCCTTAAAACTCCCCAACTTTACAGGGGCTATGATAACGAGGCTGAATACGGTGTTGGAAACCACGATCTGTGTAGAAACCCTGACCCTGACTACCCCACCATCTTCTGCTACACTACCAACTGGCTCAAGCGATATGATAACTGTAATGTTCCCAGATGCAATACCAAGGATCATCCTAGATACCTGTTTGGACCCGGACTCAAGAAACGTTCCTCATTTGTTTGAGCGCGGAACTAATTATTGGACAAACATTGTAGTTAAAGGGACTGTGATCAGCCCAGAAAAGTGAAACTTGCTAAAATTTGTAATTAGTTGTTCCAAGAGTAAATTAGATAAAACCAAAATTTAGAATCGATTGATTTTTAAATTACCGTTGGAAGTGGGATGTTCCACCGATTTTAATATTTAATAACTAACTATCACCAGAGTATTCAGTATTGGCTGGAAGGCTGTAGACAGTTGAAACTCTGAATGTTGAGACAAATGTTTCAAGTTTAAGCTAGCGATAGACTTTAGTGCAGTGTGCAAGCTTTAGTTTTCTCTTCACAGCGCTTACACAAAATAATATTACTGCAGTTTCCTTCGGTTTGCTCGGCTGATACAGAATACTTAAATTCAGTACTAATATTTTGCTTATCTTTTAAAATGATCGACAGTTAGATCTGTATAATGAAGTTTTTTTGCAACATTTTTGAATGAAATGATCGATCATTTACTTTTCCTCCGATAACTAAAACAGTTTCTCATATCAGAAATAAACTGAATTTGTTTACAGGCAACAAACACATGTCCTGCTCACACAAAATAATGTGAGAAAGATCTCTCCAACAACCCCAACCTTCATGCACAGCAACATTTACCAAGCCTGCTGTTGTTTTTCCGGTTACTATCCCCGATCTCCCTACGAAGAACTAGATGACTCCAACATAAAACTCAAGAACAGTGGTGAAAAGGAAAACCTAAACACGATTGCAGGGACAGGAGGGGAGTACCGGTCTACCCAGATCTCCAACCCGTCATCCTCCTCCTTTGAGGCGGAAGTCAGCAGTGAAAATGAGGAGATAGCGGGGCTGAGTAACGATCTCTACAACACTAACAACCTGAACAACCAGATCAACGCTAACATGGCCAGTACTGCAGATCAGGACAAGCGAGCCCCCTCGGTCTACACTATCCAGTCCGATGTTTCAGTTCAGCTGAGTTCCTGGCAATCAGCCAGCCATGCCATGGCACAAGCCTCTGTCACTACCACTGGTAGAAAGAAGAGGGACAGTTCCACGGAGTCCCTCAACAAACGACGGTCGAGAAGTAGTTCTAGTTCGAGAAAGCGTTCAAGAAACGGGAGTGCGGTCTCGACTAATAAAACTCATTCTGCCACGAGTCTGAACGATAAAAACGTTGAGGAGAGTGGACGGTATTCCCCACTGGGGAAGCTGGAGGAAGCTACATCAAGTCGTCTCGGGCTCTACAAATCCCTTAATGAAGACAAAAATAGCAACAGTAAAGATTCTGAGAAGATTAACGTTGAGGTTATAGAAAATGTGGTCGAGAAGCCGCCATTGTCAAGATTGAAAATAAAATCAAGACCGGAAAAAGAAAAATTCGAAGAAACTGTCGTGCTTAAAGATTCTGTGGAAATGTCCGTTGTAACGGAAGCTGAGAGTGCAGATTCAGAAGATAATCTTCCCCCAAAAGCGTCAAAAGGTTTTCTGATGGAGCCAGTGATGGAGCCAATTAAAATGCTACTAGGAGTTTTCTCTGGCGATACGACAAAAACTGAAGTAGGAGATATAGAAGAGCCGGATGAAATAGAATATTCCATGAGTGAAAGTGACATAGAAGAATCCTCCGCCTATTCAGTCGCTACCTCGGACATAAGTAGTGACCCTACTAGCGATGATGGAGAAGACGCGAATAATCTTCAGGAATCATTTTTCCCTGAGCTTTACGAAACTAAGGGCCAGAATGAAGATCTAACTGCAAACAAATCGTCTGTGGCGGCTACCGGAAAGCAGGCCGCCAGAAGAGAATCTTGGTCTTCCAGGTACCCAGTCGTAAAACAAGAAGAAGACTCCTCTTCAATAGCAACTGACGAACTATCAGAGACAACAAACGAACTTAGCAGCGTTCACATAGAGGACCAAATGTCAGCATCAAGTGCTTCAGATTATGAGAATATTTCAGGTCGGTTCAGCGGACTGGACGTAGAAAGTTCTGACCAGGCTGGGGAAGGACTCGAGGAGGAGATGGAAACGCTAGACCAAGGGCAATTAGACTTGTTTACTGAGAAAAAACTGCCCGTGGAATCAGATCCACCATCCGGAGGACAATCCAACCCAGTTCAAGAAGGTTACTATTCCAACAGTTTCGTACGATACGACCCAAACACAAACGAGTTTGTCCGATACGACGATCCTGAGCTGGTAGAAACAGACGGGTCAATGATAACCCACCGAGATCACGACTCACTTTTCCAACTGGGATCAGACAGCAACCTCAGTTTCCCCGGCAGGCTCGCTGAGGAACAGCCTGGAGAGCTGGAGAGTCCAGTCCCTAGTTCTTGTATAGACGGTAGTACGATAGTTGGATCGTGTGGGACTGGGGTTACAGTTAGTTCAGGTGGTGACACTTTAACTGACCTGAGTGTGAGTAGAGCTGGCATGAGAAAGGAGGAGGTGAAGAAGAAGGGAGGAATTGTGTCCCGGTTTAAGAAGAAGGTTCTGAAGAAACAGTGAAATATTAAGAGTAGTGCTGTGTAGGTTCCACATTCCAATAAGTTCTGCGAGCCAGAAACCGAAAGAATTGTGTAAGATAATTCGGGGTAGAACTCTTTTAACAGTTTTTGAGATATTTGTTCTGTAGTAAGACCGATTGTATCATAATTTCTGACTTTAGAAAGACAAACTTACGAATATGAGATCTTCTGTAAATAAGTTAAAACTATGAATCATTGAAAATAATCATTCGATAAAAAATATGTATTAAAGTACTTATGATCATTAACAACAACGAATAATTTCAGAAATTATAAGTCAAATAATTTAATTGACATTAAACTTTAATGAATCAGTTACTCTACAACATATCACATATCAGATTATCGCAGTGAATTGTGGTTGTTTAATGTTTTTCACATTCACGCTCAAATATGGTACAAAATTCTACACAATAATTGAAAAACTACAAATTGAAATGAACCTAAAAATTACACGATAATTAAAATTTAACAAATACTTTAAACTTAAAATGTTATATAATCTCAGGTCTGACGAATGAAAATAATAGCAATGCAGGCATCCGCTGAGGTGAAAATAAAAATGAAATTAGTTCGCACACAGTATCAATTATTTCCTTAAGTTTATGACTGCTTATTGTAGCGTCTCGGTATACGAAAGTGCAGCGTATGCTCAATGGACGTCAAGTTCTGTGAAGTTCTCGTTGGGCTTCATTTGTGTAATCAGAAATGTCTTAATTCTTATGCGAAGATTTATCTTGCGTCCGAAGATGTGGATAATAAAGTGTGTAAGATATCAACGTTTTACCTTATGATCAGATGCAATCAGAAGGCCACCTTGATCGCTAACATGCAGTGTTGGGATTCATCGCCCTGTTGGTCGACCATAAACACAACATGGGATGTCACGTAACCATGGCAACAGAGGATTATTCCAGGTCGCGCGGCTTAAACCATGCGAACTCAAAGCGCGCGCCACTGTACTAGCTGCAGAAATTTCCAGTACAATAACAAATCTGACATCGCGGGCTACAATTAATACAGATTTTGTGTGCGACCAAAAAAGTGCACACGAGAACATTCGTCAGGATAAAAGTTTCTGGCGAATTATCAACTGGTGAGTCTCATGACAAGAAGATGTTAAACCCCCACAACAAGCTAGATCAGTTAGCTTTATCATCAAACTTTCTGAACGACAATACTTGTCTATTGTTGTGATAAGGCGATGTGGAGGGTCGTTCAACTGAAGGTGATAAATGGCCGTCTGGTTGCTGCACTCCTGCGTATGACGATCTTTTGGTCCTCTGAGGGGTGGAAGTTTGAGGTCCACCTGGATCTGAAAAATTCGCATTTATTCACACTGTTTAAGGAGAAATCGATAATTGATTCAGTTGTACCTGATATAAGCTATCTAACAAGACCATCTTGTAACAAAGTATAAAAATAAATTCAAATTTAATCACAGCTATAAAAATGAAACTCCACCTTTAAAGACGCTGTCATCCAGCAGTGCTGAAACATCCCTATCAAAGCTATTGTTATCTCCAATGAAAGGAGTCCCCCTACTCGAGACGAATGACTGATTCATCGTATTTGAAGAGGACCCATCCACAAAAGAAGAGTTCACTGCAACATTGGGAGGAGTCTGATCCTCAATATCGGGTACTGTTTCACTTGTTTCGTGTGTTGAACTGTCAGTTAGTACCAGACTGTCGTCCATTAGCAGCGAGTCATTAAGTTGTAACAGTCCTGGCTCTGAGAAATTCTCCTGTCTTAGATAGGCTATATAAGTCTTACAATTGAAATATTTGGGTTGTCAAGGGTACTTCTTTGATCAATTTTTACAAACTATTAGATTTTATCAAATGCAAGTCACAGAAGAATTACAGAAAAACTATAATTTGTATTAAAGTTTGGTTTATACCTGGGTATATCGTCGTCTTCAAATTCGCTGTCAGTGTCGTATCCCTTGTTATCTTTTGCTTCTGCTAGCTCTCGTCTCACTCTGTAACAAATATTATGTTTTAACCAAATTATACCAATACAATATATTGAGTATTGACCAAGAAAGGTTTTATGACTGCATTCATATATCCAAATAAACTGGCACTATTGCCTCCAATAGGTCTGAATATTAAGATAAATTCTAAGATTTTTTCAATTTGATAAAGCGATATTTCTAATTTTTCGGTTTTCAAAAATGTCCAATTCTCACAATATCTCCAGACTCCAAGGGCACAGAGAACTGACTTTTCCCAGTTAATGAAACTAAGCACATTATATGTAAGTTAAAGGTAAGTGAAATTTAGCATCATAGAATAAAATATTTTATCTTATAGTAAGAAATTTTAACTTCAAATTTGATGAACTCATTTTGATGAACTCAAAATTTCGTTTAAAAAAAAATGGACGGAAAAACGTAATTAACACATTTCCAGCAATAGAGGTCAGTGTGTCAATAAATTGTATTATATGAAAGACGTTTCAAATCGAACAGTCTCAAGTTGACCTCAATTTCTTTGATTATGTGAACAACAACATTTTCCCGTCACATTGATGATGAATAGGTTTAGTTTAAGTTCTTCTCTCTATTTGAATTTTTAACAAACTTTAGAGATAGAATGTTTACTTCGTTTTTGGTAATTTCTTGTCCTGTCCTTTGTCTCATAAAAGTAATCTTTCTTCAAATCCTCGTTTCTTCAACCGAAATGAACGACAGTTTTGTGTATTCTTAAATAGATTTTAACATGGTTAAAACCACATTATAATCTAAGCATTAATTGACAGACCTTAAGTTTTACGTATTAAGCTAGACGTCTCATTTGGTTCAATTCTCTCAGTTCTCGTTACATTTCTCCACTTTTGCTCAACACTACCGTTTGCTCTTTGTCCAACTCCCCTTAATTGAGACCACTTCTTTAAAAACTTTCCCTTTAGTTCACTGCTTCGGCTGATAATGATAGCTGGATTCAGTGCTGCGTTCAGTATTGGCAACAATGTCCCTAACACCGCCATAACATCAATTTGAGGATCACATATAACATCGTATTTCAACAGCAGGATGTACGTTGCAAATGGTGAGTTGCAACCCACAAAGAGAACTGACATGGCAACAACTGTTATGGTCACGTGACGCTGGTTGTTGCTGGTAGTAACAAGGCTGGGTTTGGTTAGAACAACCATCTGGACAATGCAAGTAATTAGAACTATAACTACTGGGATTAAGAATGGAACCACTATGAAAAAGAATCTGGATGCATGGTGTAGTATAGAATATAGTAATGAGTTGCAATGAGTGAATACAGGATCTGATTCCGAGTATTGCTGAAAATCTTTCAGTTCCATAGATGTGTCTACCCAACACTGGAATGAGTCGAACTTGTCTTCAATTTCCTTTCCCATTCCATTTGCGGAAATGTAGGTATTGTAACCAAAACCTTGTCCATAACGCATCCCAAAGGTCTGAAATGACAGATAAATGTCAACTGCCGCTACTACGATCCAAATCACACCATACATAACTGATGCCATTGCCACATTCCTCTTCTTTATTCGGTAGAAGGGGTTTAGAATCACGACAGTCCTGCAAACGGCGAGCATCAAGTTTCCAAATACTGAACATCTGTAACTGACTGCAATAAGTGTATAGCTGATGACTGAATGGTATCTATCAATTTCTGTCCATCGTTCGATGATTCGTTTGTGAAACAGTGCGAGGACTACTGACTGATAAATGACGCCCACAGCAGTCAGGATATCAACAGAGGATATCAGGGAGTAGATAAGAGATACCACTGAGAGTTGACTCCTCCGATAGTGGTCTATAACGAAGCTGTTGAGAGATATGGTCATGATACAGAGTAGTATACACGGTATACTTATCCAGAAGTAGGGTTCTAGGAATTCTGCATATCCATCTGATTGGGCTCTCATAATTCCTCCAGAGCTTGTTGAGGCTAACGTTTGGGTGACTGGCATTTTTGTTTCAGCCTTGATGGAACTTTAAATAGGATTTATCTTCTTAAAATTGCTTATAAAACTAAGTTCGACTGCAAAATTTTAAATATAAACACTTATTACTCTATTGACATTGTAAGAATGGACCTTTACTGATAGTTGAAATTCGACATATGACGTCATCTAGCGTCATCTAGCGTCATCTAGCGTGAAATATCGCCAGATGATGATAGATGACGCTAGATGACGCTAGATGACGCTAGATGACGCCAATTAGCGACATTGTCGCTAAGTGCACGGCACCTTTCGAATGTCGCTATCTAGCGCCATCTAGCGCTATCTAGCGCTATCTAGCGCTATCTAGCGCTATATGACGCTATATGACGCTATATGACGCTAGATGACGCTAGATGACGCTAAGCACGCAGCACTGACGCCAGGCGACAGATAGCGCTATTTTCATAAAATTTCCGCCCTTTTTTTTGCGACATCTAGCGGTATCTAGCGCTATCTAACGCTATATGTCGCAACGACATCTGACGCAGCGCTATCTAGCGCTATCTAGCGCTATCTGGCGCTATCTAGCAGAGAATGTCGGTTTGTGACAGTTTACGCTAGATAGCGCTAGATAGCGCTATCTAGCGCTAGATATCGCGGCGACAGCTAGCGCTAGATAGCGCTATCTAGCGTAAACTGTCACAAACCGACATTCTCCGCTAGATAACGCTAGATAGCGCTAGATAGCGCTATCTAGCGGAGAATATCGGTTTTTGACAGTTAACGCTAGATAGCGCTAGATAGCGCTATCTAGCGCTAGATATCGCGGTTTTATTTTTAACGTTGCAAAACGTTTATTATTTGACTTCAGATCAAGGTTACCAGAGTTTAAAATTCAACTACATTTGAACGTTGTATTAGTAGAGGCTCTTACGGGCATTGTCTGCTCGATACGTTAGGGACCCCAAATACACCTTACTAGACGTATTTTTGACCGTAGAATCGATTGAAAGTGGTTTCAAGATGATTGGACTGATTGTTCTGGGGTAAAATCGCAAAAAACCGATTTTTGGGCCAAAAATAGGCCAAAAAACCATGTTTTTTGATATTTTGAGCAAGTTAATTTTGTTGGCATGTCGGCAAAACTTGCATAAAGATAGCTAAAAGACAGCCGCACAAGATTGTATAAAAATAAAACAAATCCCTCTATTTGTTCTGAGGTAAAAATCCAAAAAAGTGGTAAAAATTTTGACTTTTTTGCTTGAAGTTTGAATAATTTTTTGCAGTTGTATTAAATCAACCCAAAAATAGTCACATCGTGTTTGCCTAAATTTTTCCTTTCCGAGAAGTACCCACTTCATATACTTTATCGAAGTTTGAATATTGTCACTCCGCAAGCGTTTTTGCCAAATTTTCGACGCGCACTACGCGCAAAAGCATTTAGTTGTTATCAATTGGCACCCGCGCGTTCATCATAAATTTCAAACAGCTATAACTCAGCGAGATTATGTCCGTTCTAGCTCATATTTTCACACTAAATAGAAAATAATGTGATCTTATTGCTGACAAAATATGAATATAATTACTCTATTTGCCTTAGAGTAATAGACTGTCAAAGTTTAAAACGCGCATTGGTATAGCACGTGACTAATAAGGCCAAATTTATACTTCTTAACATATTATCGATCCTTAGACATCATACTATTGTGTCCAATTAGCGGTTAGGTCTCTAAACTCGTAGCAGAAAACACGTCTTTTTGCCCGTAAGAGCCTCTACTATATGTAGGTTACATATAAAACGTTGTTAAACGTTAAATATCTAACGTTGGTTATGGGTTTTATTTTTAACGTTGCAAAACGTTTATTATTTGACGTCAGATCAAGGTTACCTTATTAACTATAAGCAGAGTTTAAAATTCAACTACATTTGAAAGTTGTATGTAGGTTACATATAAAACGTTGTTAAACGTTAAATATCTAACGTTGGTTATAGGTTTTATTTTTAATGTTGCAAAACGATTATTATTTTACGTTAGATCAAGGTTACCTTATCAACTATAAGCAACGTTCAAAACTCAACTAAATTTTAACGTTGTATGTAGGTTACATATAAAAACTTTGCCGGCTGGTATAGGCTTAGACTAATATTTTGAGAAAAAGCGGCGCGTGATAGTATTAGTAAATTACGAGTATCACCCGTTAACGAGTGAGATTCTTCCAGTATAAGCTGTTTATGCTCTAACCATAGCCCTCTCGCTAGTATAGTAGTACGCTTAGACACATGGCTATGTGAAAGAAGATGATGTAAAGATCTTAATGTTAAATTAGCATTTGCAAATTAATAATATTAAAATCTCGCACAGCAAGTTATTAAAAGAATGTAATGAGAGTCGAGCCGAATTTATTGTTCAGTAATCACATTTACAATGGGTTTACACATTACATAACCGTTTAAATTTCAAATTAATGTTCCTGCACGAATGAAAATGCCTCATAATCATATATCGTACCCACGAGTTTTCAGTTTACGAACTACGCGCAAGTGTGAAGTGCAAGCGCGAAAGCTTTATGACAGGCTGAGCGCGGCCCAGTAACAATCCTCGGGATTGGAATTATTTTGGATAAATACTTTACAGCTTTGAGCTTCGAGTAATCTATTTGACGATGTTTGTTGTAGCGCGATGCACTACTGGGCCGCGCCGCGCAGCCAATAATGCTTCTTGCAACCACTAGTGCTTTACTAAACATAGTTGGTCAGTACGTTACTGTACGAACTTTTAAAAGGTGTCGAACTGTACAAATTTTAAAAAGCTGTCGAGGAATTTTTACCGAATTTTTTTAAAAATTTTGTTTTTTAATCACTTCAGTCCGAAAAATTTGTTATTTTTGTCCGAGAGGTTACACTTCAGATTTAAAATATTAACATGCATCCGCACGTCATCGTTTCCCGCCATTTTAACACAAATTTTTGCAATTAGCTTTTCGAAAATTTATGAAGCGAATTTTTCCCAAAATAATCCCGAACTGAAAAAACGTGCCGAACTGTACGAATTTTTTACGACTTTTGTACGAACTAAACAACTATGTTACTAAATTGGCGACGCGATATGCACCATGACTGGGCCTCGCCGAGCTGTGAACAGTGAAGGATTGACATCGTGAATCAACGCGATGCGTTACTGTGAGTGTGTCGCGCCGCGCATCCAAAAATGCTTCTCGGTATCCAACAATGCTTTTCGGCGAAATGCACCACTAAGCTGTGAAAGATTGGCATCATGAATCAACGATGTTAGTAACTTGTATAAATTTTGTCGAAATAGTACGTGCCGCTTTCTTCCGATCCCGAAATGTTAAGGGTCGACGGTCGTTTACATATTAGTATTACGTAATCAGCTGAGGAGGTTGGGGTTTTCAAATGATTATTGATTACGCTAGTGTAATATTGACATAAATATATTAGCTATGGTAAAACTGATTACGGGGTATGTGAACGACCCCTCATTGTTAGTAATCAGTTCCATACATAGCTATTAAGCTATTAGTATCATGTCACAATCACACTAGCGAGCGTAATAATTTGGAAAACCCCGGCCGGCGGCATCAGGCCCCTTATATAATTATAATATGTAAACGACCCCTTGATTAAGTGATATTTAATATTTTGTTCCACTCAGCCGAATATTTGATAAATCGAGTGTAATAGTTGGGTGACTTCGACGAGCCGCGCAAGCTTATAGTTATAGTTATATCATTCTCACTTAAATTATAATTAATTTTCATACACAGTAAAAATTAATTTTCATATAAAATAAAAATAACAAAAAAGATTGGTTGGGAAAAGACAGGCTGCGCTTACGGTCCCAGTAAAACACACACACACACACACACACACACACACACACACACACACACACACACAGACACACACACACAGACACACACACACACACACACACACACACACACACACACACACACACACACACACACACACACACACACACACACACACACACACACACACACACACACACACACACACACACACACACACACACACACACACACACACACACCCACCCAGATAGCGACATCTAGCGCTAAATAGCCTGGACTGTCACGACCCAAAATTCTTCGCTATTTAGCGCTATCTAACGCTATTTAGCGCTATCTAACGCTATCTAGCGCTATATGTCGCAACGACATCTGACGCTATATAGCGCTATCTGGCGCTATATAGCGCTAGATAGCGTGAACTGTCGTAAACTGACTTATCCCGCTATCCAGCGCTTGATGTCGCCTGCGTCAGATGTCGTCGCGACAGATGTCGTCAGATGTCGTCAGATGTCGCTAGATGGCGTCAGATAGCGTCAGATGTCGCGGCAACATATGACGCTAGATGACGCTAGATGTCGTCCCTAGAATTTTGATGAAAATAGCGCTATCTGTCGCCTGGCGTCAGTGCTGCGTGCTTAGCGTCATCTAGCGTCATATAGCGTCATATAGCGTCATATAGCGTCATATAGCGCTAGATAGCGCTAGATAGCGCTAGATAGCGCTAGATGGCGCTAGATAGCGACATTCGAAAGGTGCCGTGCACTTAGCGACAATGTCGCTAATTGGCGTCATCTAGCGTCATCTAGCGTCATCTAGCGTCATCTAGCGTCATCTATCATCATCTGGCGATATTTCACGCTAGATGACGCTAGATGACGTCATATGTCGAATTTCAACTATCAGTAAAGGTCCGTAAGAATGACGTTTTAAATCTATACAAAATTCAAAAAAAATTGAGAAACACACGTTCTATATCAAATTAACAAGAAATTCAATAAAAAGTATCTCCGAAAGAAAGAAGGATAGTACTGAATATCAACAGTAAACCAGACAACAATGGTGTTTGTATTGCTGCAGACCCAGCAGAGTGCAGTCGGAGGTGGGCGGTGTCAACACTCAATAAATCAGGACGAATTTGGAGTACGATAAGAACATTTCAATATTTTAGGGAAAGACAATTAGTATTCGTAATACGTATGACATGGTAGATAATGAATATATACTAGATATTTATCAAAGTGCAAGATATGCTCGGTTGTAGACCAGGGTTGTATACAAATCTATTGAGCTTATAATTAAATATATCCGAGGTTAAAGAATGAACATGGCATAATACACTTTTATACCAATAACATTTACTGGATATTCCACCACAGTTTCACAAACTGAAGCTCGGTATCTTATATATCATTGAAGTCTAAAACCTGAAATAACCATATTTGAAACCTGAAATCTTCCCGGTTTTGAGAACTATTCAAGTGTATTGTCAATCATAATATTAACTCTACTCCTCAAAACAAAACAAAACACAGTTCCTAACTTACCTGTCAGCATGTTTGGAGAGGAACACACTGAGAGTGTACATCTTCAGCAGGATACGTCTACGTTTTCTGGACATTAGGATCAGATCCTCATCTCTCTGTTTGAGACGTTTAGCTAAACACGGTAACATGGCGTACAACTGCCTGGCTGACTCCTGAACAGAGAGGTTAGTTGTTTAGGAAATAGATGGAGGGGGTGGGGTCGGGTTGGGGTGGGGTGGGGTCGGGTTGGGAGGGGGTGGGGCCGGGTTGGGGTGGGGTGGGGCCGGGTTGGGGTGGGGTGGGGCCGGGTTTGGAGGGGCCGGGTTGGGAGGGGTGGGGCCGGGTTGGGAGGGGCCGGGTTAGGAGGGGTGGGGCCGGGTTTGGAGGGGGTGGGGCCGGGTTGGGAGTGGGTGTGGCCGGGTTGGGAGGGGTGGGGCCGGGTTGGGAGGGGGTGGGGCCGGGTTGGGAGTGGGTGGGGCCGGGTTGGGAGGGGGTGGGGCCGGGTTGGGAGGGGCCGGGTTAGGAGGGGTGTGGCCGGGTTGGGAGGGGAGGGGCCGGGTTGGGAGGGGCCGGGTTGGGAGGGGTGGGGCCGGGTTAGGAGGGGTATGGCCGGGTTGGGAGGGGAGGGGCCGGGTTGGGAGGGGCCGGGTTGGGAGGGGCCGGGTTGGGAGGGGCCGGGTTGGGAGGGGGTGGGGCCGGGTTGGGAGGGGCGTCCGGTAACGAGTATAGTCCTCCTTGTTCACGTTTTTGCCCCCTTCAAAGTACGTGATTGCAAAAGATTGTAAAGGGCTGTACTTAAAATAACGTACCCTTGACCCGTGAAGGGAACAGTCGCTGAAGATGCTCTTTTTAAAGACAGCAGTGTGAGCTTGTATCAGTGAGTCCGTGATATCCCACATGGTGTGTTGGAACACGTGATCTATCAACATAGCTTCTCTACAGTACCTGAAATAACACGTGATCTATCAACATAGCTTCTCTACAATACCTGAAATACAAGATATCCAATGATTGTTCAAACTTGAAATAAAAGTTTTACTATCTAAAATATCTTGATCAAAGGTCGCCATTTTTGTTATTCTTCAACAAATAAGACAGTAATAAGATAATATAAAAGTAAAGACACATGTAATGTTAACACATGTAATGTTGACATGTAATGTTAACGTTAAGACACATGTAATGTTAACTCACGCGTTAAGTATCTTGATCCTCCTGGAAAGCTCGTGAGCAGGTGCTAGTAAGGGTATTGTGTTGTAAGTCTCTTGTAACGTCAAGTTAGCTCGGATTATTGACACTAAGTACCTGGGTGTGTTATAAGGTAAGGTTTTTAAGGTATTTAAGATATTTAAGGTGTGTAGGGTTCAGGAACGCGAACGTGAATAATAATGAAATCTATAGGATGCAGAGTGCAGACAAAACTGCATATTCAATTGTTCAATGAAAATAATAATAACATTAGTAATATTATTAGAAAAGCTTAACTTACTTCCTGGTTGTTTCGTCTATATCTCGTTTAACAGCGTTAGTTTTAGTGAGATTAGGCCAGAGCGGGCGCTGTGTTCTCAAGACTATCTTGTTCCACCTCATGAAGAGGAAAGTGAACCACACAGCACAGAGGACGTAGAACCCGCCGTTCAGCATTATCATCTCAGCGTACAGAAAATCCTCTGGGAGATTAAATAGTGTTGTGGGGAGACCGCAGGATATAAATTATTGGAGTATGATTGTAGAATGTTGGGATTTAGATCTGATAAGATGGTAGAATCTCATATTAATATCAGATACCAGGTAGTACTAGTGTTAACTGTAGTTTCAGAGTGCTAGCTTCTTAATTAAAGTAGGAAAGTAATATATTTCTTGAATAATTTCAATACAAACCTTGAATAAAGGCGTTCCTCGTATCCATCTCGATACAGACGCCAACAAAAGCATTGCAGAAGTGAACAAAGAGGGATAGGAAGAGCATGACGTTAAAAGACATGATTCTGTAGGGTCTACCAACCATCACCAAACCACCTGAATACGTTAATTAAGCAATTAGTGCCGTTAATTAGTTAATTAATTAATTTTTATTTAATTAATGTTTAAATGATAAAATATAATCCCCTCAAGCCACAATCTCCAATTTCTTAATAATTCCAATAAGATTTATTAATATTATTGATTACTAACTGAGAACGAAGAAGATGCCCGTAAAAAGGAATGCTTGAAGTTTCTCGTAATCAAATACTGCTCCATACACAATTATCAACATTAACTTAACCACAAATACGTAGCACTGAAACAGGGGGTAAAATAGGCTTCACATAACAAAATACATTCACGATGATATAACATATCATAAACCATAAATATTAAGGATTTAAAATGATGACATTTAAAGAAAACATCAACTTTCATTCATTCAACAATACCAGGACTGAGTTAAGGACTGATGCAAGAAGATAAACGTGAAAACTTACATTAAATCACACTAAAATCAACTTTGATCACACTAAATCACACTAAATCACACTAAATCACACTAAATCACACTAAATCACACTATCTCAATCTCCACCTACCCTCATATAAACAAACTTGCGTCTGAAAGAGGACAGCAAGTAGTAACCACTGAGTAACCACTCTTCGTTAATACCGTACACGTACTCTGTCTCCTTTAGTAGGATGTAACCCTCGTGCTCTATTGTTATATCTGAGATTGTGGTTAATCGGTTAGTTAATTAGTTAATCAGTTAATTATTTAATTAGTTAATTAGTTAATTAGTTAATTAGTTAATTAGTTAATTAGTTAATTAGTCGATTAATGAGTTAGTTGACTTATACGATTTTGATAATGTTTAGAGATTAGAAATCCTAAATTCGATATTTAATTTATCTAATAAGACAGAAAAATATAATATTGTGATAAATTATTAAAATCCCCCTTACCAGTGAACACGTGTTTCTTGTTTTTGACAAAGATGTAGACAGGAACCGCGCACCATGCCAGTAGTATCAACACTGGGTACAAAGCGTGAACTAAAGTCCACATGTCACGGTTCCAGATAAGACAGGTCTCACTGGGCTTCACGTCTGTTGCGTTGTGTAGTGGGTTCGGGCCTAGATGGTGTTAGTGGTGTTAGTGGTGTTAGTGATGTTAGTGGTGTTAGTGGTGTTAGTGGTGTAAGTGGTGTTAGTGGTGTTAGTGGTGTTAGTGATGTTAGTGGTGTTAGTGGTGTTAGTGGTGTTAGTGGTGTTAGTGGTGTTAGTGATGTTAGTGATGTTAGTGGTGTTAGTGATGTTAGTGATGTTAGTGGTGTTAGTGGTGTTACTGATGTTAGTTTGTGTAAAGTGATTTCTATGCGTTTTCTTATTTCTCACAGTTAATTTCCATTTTTTCAATGTAGAAACAGGATTTCACTGTTCAGATTATTGTTACGAAATTTACAGGTGCTGGATCTAGGAGAACCAAGATACAAATTTAACAGATGTCCGGACTGATTAATGTTGCGCAACAATTTTATTATAATGGGCTTTGAGAAAACGTTTCCTTCATGAGTACTAAATAATTTTTTGAAATGCAGTATTGAGCTTGAAAACTGTCAGCTATGAAACCGTCAGCTATATCATATTAGAGACAAAAGAGATGCCCCTCTTGACGCTATATTGTGTGATATATTATAAATTTAAAAGGTTTCAACAGAACCATTGTGCAGGCACTGGTCCTTTTTAATCGATCGTGATCACGTGACTAATATTTCAGGTTGTAAAGTTCGTCACGCAGTCATGATTGGAACAATTATGAAAACTCCTTTTTATCAAAGGGGCCAGCCGCCAGATGTTAAATGCAATGCCATATTCATATTGCCATTCATTGACAATTTTCAGCTGGTTTTTCAGTCAATTTGTTTCGAAGCTGCTGTGTTGATGAGCAGGTCAATGTCTCGTAGTCATTTGCCTCTCTGTGGTCATCAGTCGTTGTCCTTTTTCTGATCATTTGGTTTGAGTCTGTTCAGAGATTGTCAAGGTTTTGCCATATTTTGGTCTCAAGTACCAAAAATGAGATTTACAAGATTTTTACTGGTCCTTTTTTGGTATTATAGCAGTTATGCAAAGAATGATAAAAACGAAGGTAATAGAACAGCTAATGAGCATACTATTACTAATTACTGATAACTAACTCATAATATATATCAAGGTCTTTACTCTTTAGACATGGGAAGCAACAGCGACAATAAATAACTAACTCAACATTTCAGACTGGATCGAACTAAAATCAAATCAAGGAGCCACCTCTATGCACCTCTTCAACCCTAAAAAAGACAGAGTGGATTTAAAGATATCTGGTAAGGGTCAGCGAGAATTCCCGACCTCAGGTTTCGAGATCAGACTGACCTTCTACGATGTGATGTTAGACCAACTTGCGGTGATGTCTATCAAAATGGAGTTGGGGAGTACGGTTATTGTGATGATTCCAAATTTTGGAGAAGAATACCTCTGCGAAAGTGGAATCACTCCAAAAGGTTGGTGTGACGTTGTTTATTGTCTGATTGAAATGTAAGATTACGGTGTTGGAAGCAAATACGTTTAAAAGAGCGTCTCTAACTTATCCTCTGGCTCTAACTAGTTCTCTAACTAGTTCTCTAACTAATCCTCTAACTAGTCCTCTATTTAGTTCTCTGGCGAGTTCTCTAACTAATCCTCTAACTAATTCTACTTCTCAGATGACTGGCAGAAGGAATTGACAATACACGCACAGAACAAAATAGTTCTCTCCGATTCAGCAGCAGAGACCCTTGGTTGCTCCTCTGAAGATTGGATAAAATGGTTGGCAGTATCAAGTAGATTCCACAAGCTGAGACTGATGCATTTAGGATCATCAACAGCTTCCGTCCAGTACCGGATCTTATCAGATAGCATTGAAATAGGTACGTTTTAAAGTTCATATTTTGTACAGGGTGGGCCAAAAGTCAGTACCCATACGTTGGCCTTAATAGCTCCGCCGTGTTTTATATTTGAGAGCTGTTGCTTTGCAGATGGCATACTGTACTTACTGGTTCGAGGATTCCGTCGTCAAAATTTGAAAATTCGAATATTTTAGACCACGCCCATTCAATATTAAAACACCTATATTGTTTTCTCTGAACATGCTGAACGCCTAATTTTTTCAGAGACGGTAGATTGTCAAATGTTGCATATGATCTGAAAACATGAGGCAAAACGGATTAGAAATGACGAAGTTATCAAGCATGTTCTGTATCTCGTTAACAAAATTGACTGGGTGATTATGTGACACCGTGACACGACACCTTAATTGGGCACCCTTAACAATTCCCATAATGTTTAACGGGGTAGTTAACGGGGTCACCTTATCACGTGATTAGGTAAACCAATCACCTGATCACACGTAATGAATAAACTCGTTATGCTTCATATCTCGGTCATCTGAGAAGCTACAGTTCTAATTCTTTCAGGACAAACGTAATTCGAATGGCCAAACACAATTCAATAACATTTAGCTTGATCCGACTATCCAAACTATCAAATAAATGTGAAAATGAACCTCTATTTGAAAAAAATGAACGCGAATATTTTTCGAGTTGACAAATTCCTCGAACCAGTGGTGGTACTAAGTCATACCAGAAAGAAGTATTTAAATTGGGCACTCAGTGACTGAGCTATAAAGGCCAACGTATGGGTACTGACTTTTGGCCCACCCTGTACATTATATCATATTGAGACTGAACATTCAATCAGAGATAGAGAGCATGATCATTCATTGTGTAATTCATTCATCGTATGATAAGAATCTATAGTTCCATCAGCCCCTCGCTCCTCCCCCCCCCCCCCCCAACTGCCGGTATATTCTATTTTATCACAATTCTAAATATAAAAACATCGCGAAATTGAGTCAGGTTAACGCGCAGATCTGCAAAATAAAGGGATTTAAAATGTGTATGCAATAATTTTGGTAAAACAGTGTTTACAATCATGAGGTATAGGTTAAGAAAAAAAGAATTGGAGATCATTTTTATTTTTCCAGCATGATTAACATAGATATCGATTAAAATGAATGTTGATTGTTGCGACTTTGGTATTCGTCTTATTGGCACGTTTCTTCATTTTGCAAGCGACTCTTATAATATATTTGTAAGAAAATATTGTGATCTATGACAGTTGGAAAAAAATGTGCATTTCAGTTTTGCCACAATATTTTACGGTGCTTGGTCCTGGATCTAACTAATAATTTTAAACAGCTGTCAAATTTCAAAGGAGAATAGGATCAGGATGGGATTAGCAAGCTTGTGCGGTCCAGTGGTTTTAACTAAATATAAAATAACTAGCAATTATTGCTTCTGTGTCAAATGGTTGATCAAAATCCTCCAACAGCTGGAACATTGAACAGCCTATAAATCAGGTACCAGATAATATTATTTTGAACATTATTTGAAAATGAGGTTTTAGTTTGGTGCAACTCGTCGACATGGGAAGCATTGCTCTGTTTCTGGTTGTACCGTGGATTAACATTGTGATTATATCTACAACTACTGATTACAACGAAGGTTTATCTTGTTTTCTGTTTTTACAAATAATGTTTTTTTAAAAGAATTTATCTGAACGTGTATATTTTCGTTTAAGAAGCTAATAAAAATATAAATTTTAGGCTGGTGGTCGGAGATAAAAGATGGAACAACAGGTCAACTACCATTCCTCCCTGAACGAAACAAAATCAATTTCACGGTTACCAGCAGAAATGGAACTGATCGGTTCTCAGACGTTGAAATTGGGCTGATTTTTGGCGATGAGAGTGGATCTGATAATGTTGGTTACATGCTAATACATATCAGTGAATGGAACACATACTTTGTGATAGCAGCACTTCCAGATAATGAAGAAATCTGCAGAGCTACTTTGAACAACAGAGCAGAAGGTTAGGAGAACTTTGAAATGATTGGTGAAAATCTATTCCAAGATTTTTTGTAAAATAGGATAGAATTATATCAAACTTTCCACATTACAAAAACATTCAGACAACTGCGCATTTTAAACTTAATATTCGTGTAATAAACTAGGAGCCTCGAACAATATCAGGTTGGTTAAGTGATCTTACTGTTTACGCAAACAAACGGTTGATAATATTAGATTCAACACCACGAGGGCTAAGCTGCGATCTTGATAGCTGGTCACTTTGGAAACAGACAACTGGTCAAGTCACTAGTGTAAAGTTACTACAGTCAAACGCTGGACAAACTGCAGTAGTTCAGTACCGGATATCTGTGCAAGATATTATAGGTAACTTAATAGTTATTATCGTTAATACTAATAGACATTTTTGCATTTGTGATAAGGTGAGGTAGGTACTTAGATCAGGTGAAATTAATTTTACTTTCATTAATTTATGTACTTGCTAACGTTTTATAAACATTAAAATCAGGATTACAGTTCAAATATTATCTGGTTAAGAAAAGAGAGAAATAATAATTAACCAATTTATAGTAAACTAATTAACAAAGATATCGAACCCCTGTCTTTTTATGTGACTCAATTTGGAATCGAACAAAAACTTCCTGGCTTTGTCAACCCTTCAGTGAGGAACCCATATAGGTGCCTTAGCCCTTAAAGCATTATTCCTTTTTCTTTCAGATCATAAACCTGTCAAATCCTGATGCAGATGTTTTCTATTATCAAAAAAACTCCAAAGAAATGATTGCCAAAAACTAGACTTATCATTGTTACTGCTTTACTGTATGATAAGTTTCAGCCACAACTTTAAAATAAACCAATCAGTCCCTGGGAAGTGGGCCAGATGTGAGCTGTCAAATAGCAATCTGTTCATAATCCGAAATTGACAATTGGCTTGGTTTTAGTTTTCAGATGGGACTCAGTTTTCTTGTTCTAGCTATGCTGGTGCGACTCACTTACTCCTCAAAGACTGGTGATAAGGAAGGTGAGAAGGGTGTGCCTTTTTTAGTGATTCGATGTGGACCCTCAGTATTGAATTAATACGCAGTATTTATAGCCAATTGAAAAATATAATTATATTTTTATTAGCTATAATGATTATCTTAAATTAGACTCCAACATTATATATAATTTCAGGTTGGTCGGAGATACAAGAT